AGAAGATATTTCAATTGACCAAGATCTTTAGTTTGGAAGTGAGCAAATAGATGATTCTTCAGTTGGCTGATCTTAGTATAATCATTGCCTTAATAACAATATCATTAAAACCATAAGATACATCCTTGCCTGAAGAAGAATGACAATAAAACACTGAGTGGTCTGCTTCACTCCTTTTCATGCCAAAAAACTGCACATGACTAAATTTTCCAAATCAAGCTTGGGGTGATTGCTTCAAGCCATAAAGAGATCATTGTAACTTGCACACTAAACCAGACTCCCCCTAAGCAACAAAACCAGGAGGTTGCTCCATATAAATATCTTCCTCAAGGTCACCATGAAGAAAGACATTTTTAATGTCTAGTTGGTGAAGGGGCTAATGACGAATCACAACCATAGCAAGAAAAAGAAGAATAGTAGAAATCTTAACTACTGGAGAGAAGGTATCACAGTAGTCGAGATCATAAATTTGAGTGTAGCTTTTAGCTACTAAACAAGCTTTAAGACGATCCACTTTACCATTATTATTAACTTTAACTGCATAGGCCCATCTACAGCTCACAACCCTTTTGCCAGGAGGAAGAGGAACAAACTCCCAAGTGCCTTTGTGCTCAAGTGCCTGCATTTCATCAATCATGGTTTATCGCCATCTAGGGTGATCAAGTGCCTCATGAACATTATTAGGAATAGATAGATTAGCCAAAGAGACAACAAAAGAAGAATATGAAGGAGACAAACGATGGTAACTTAAAAAATTATAAATAAGAAAGGGATTGTGAGTGGAACGAGTACCTTTTCTAAGTACAATAGGTCAACCAGAATCAGAAGTGGGAGGTAAGGTTGAAGGATCCATAGTATGAGAAACTGATGGAGACAGATCTGAATCACAATTATCTATAGGTACTGGTAAAGGTGTAGGAGGTAAATCATTATGACATTTTGACTGAATTGGAAAAGAAATCGGTATAGGCAGAACTTGTTGAATTGATGAACCATCTTCCATTGGGGAAGAAAAGAAGGGTGTTTCCTCAAAGAAGGTGACATTAACATACCTATAATACCTTTTGGAAGATGGAGAATAACATTTGTACCCCAAGAAAACACATTTAATGGCTTTAGTACTTAGTTTATCAAGACCTGGAGATACATTGTGAATAAAACAAGTACAACCAAATACACAAGGAGATACATGAAAAAGAGGATCATCTGGGAAGATAAGAGAATGTGGAATTTGATTTTTAAGAGAAGAAGATGACATCCGATGAATAAAAAAATAAGCAGTGAGAACTGCATTTCTCCAATGATGAACAGGGACATTAGCATTCAATATTAGAGAGTGTGCAGTCTCAATAAGGTGTCTATTTTTCCTTTCTGCAATGTCATGTTGCTGTGGGGTGTAAGAACAAGTTGATCGATGTAAAATTCCTTGGGAAGATAAAAAAGAAGAAAAACAAGATAGAGAAATTCTTTGGCATTATCACTTCTGGGAACTTTAATTATCTTCCCAAATTGATTTTTAATTTCATTGAAAAAGAACACAAAAAATGAACAAAAGTTCATATTTGTCTTTCAGCAAATAAACCCAAGTACTTCTAGAAAAGTTATCAATAAATATCACAAAATATTGAAAGGCAAAAGAGGAAACACAACTTGGTCCCCAAACATTAGAATGAATATTTGAAAAAGGAAAATTACATCAAGTTTCATATTGTTTAGGAAAAGTAGATTTAACATGTTTTCCTAATTGACAAGATTCACACTCTAAAACCCGAATATGTTGAAGATTAGGAGTCATCACTTTCAACTTAGATAGACTTTGGTGGCCCAGACGATCATGCAAAAGTTTAGGGACAGGAGAAACCAGACAAGACACCGAAGGACTTGGTTTTAGATTGTACAGATCACGTGATTCATGTCTTTTTTCAATCAGACGACCCGTACCATGTTCCTGAATAACAAAAAAATTGGAAGTAAAGGTTACAGAACAATACAAAGAACGAGTAAGTTGACTTAGAGAGATCAAGTTATAAGGGAAATTAGGAATGAAAAGAATCGAATTTAAATTTATAGTTGGGGTTAAAGGAACTTGGCCAACACCTTGAGATTTCACTTTGGATTTACTAGCTACAGTGATTAAGTGAGAAATATTAGGATAGGACATGAAGGAAAACGATGAACTATTACCAAATATATGATCAGAGGCACTTGAATCAAGAATCCATGGATTTTGTGCCTTCCACATATTGAGAAATACATGCAGTTGAAACACTTGGTGTTGAAGAGGATTGATCCTGACTCTTAAACTTTCCAGATTTGAACTTCAAAAACTTCTGATACTCCTCATAAAAAATCTTCATATTTGGCTTTTCCGATTTAGATGCATGGGCAGGAAAGCCATGCAAGGAATAATAATTTTCCTGCGTGTGTCCCATCCTCTTACAATAGGTGCATTGAGGACGAACTTTCGAACTACCATGTCCACCTCGATTGTTGCGTCCTCCCCCTCGACACTGAAGGGCAATCATAACAGAAGTTTCAACAGTCTCCACTTGATTCTCATTAACCATGAGATTAGGAACTCGAATCAACCTAGTGACAAGATTATCCATTGATGGAACATGATCGCTAGCTAGGAGTTGATCACGCTCGTGATCAAGGTAAGAATACAGACTTCTCAAGATTAGAACCATATATAGCTTATCGAGTTTGGTGTTTAACTCCTCTAATAAGGTATTTGCAACAAGAAACCTTTTTAATTCTTCCAAAATCGTCCTAGCTTTTGCAATGTAAGTCATCTTGTTGTGATTGATTTGTTTAAGTGATGTTACTCTTTGAGTTGCATCGTTGAATATCATTACAAAAAATGTCTTGAGCCTTTTTTCCAAAAAGAAGAACAGGTTCTGAATGACCTGAGAAGCTCAAGAGCATACGATTCCACAGCCATAAGATTGCACAAAGTTGGAAATCGATTTTCTCCCACTCCGACCTTTCTGCAAATGGCCGTGATGCCCATGACCAAGAAGTCACAACTCAATTGAAGCAGACCAGGATAAGTAATTTTTTCAGTTAAGCCTGACACTAGTTATGGTGGGACTAACAGAGAAGGTGAAGGTAGAGGATGAGACCAACTAAACCAAAAAAGATGAATCAAGCCAACGAATAAGGTTACCCAGGGGACTTTTCACACACAGTTCTTAAACCATAAAACTAAGGGCACCACTGGACTTGGAGGACGCCTACAAGTCAAATGGAGGTGGTCGGCCTTGATTTCGGCCACTGGAAGGTGGCGCGTGGGACACACGCATCTGAGAGGGCTCACTGGGATGATCACGCGTGACGGTGCGTGGGGCTGCTGACGGAGGAGCGACTTGCAGTGGTGAGTCGCACTCCTCAAGGCGAGCAAAACCCCTCTTTCACCGGTCCAAACAAAGACGGTGATTGGCGATGACGACGGCGACCAGAGCTGACAAAGGCGACTGGAAATTAGTGCGAAATCTTACATGCTCTGATACCAACTTGAAAAAACTTATTTAGTGTTTAATACAGTGATCAAAGATAGGGATGGCAAAACAGGCTAGCCCGCCTCGTTTTGGCTCGTCCCGCCTTTGGCCTGCCAAAAGCGGGACGGGCGGGCTAGTCTGCTATAGTCATGGTAGGTTACAGATTTTGTCCCACCCTGCCAAGGGGCAGGCTGATCCGTCATATTTTTTATTTTATTATTTTTATTATTATAAATTACTTACTCCTTCTGTTGCTTTTTCCCCATCTGATAGATCTGAAATTTATTCTTTAACTCATTTGTCGTTAAGCAGATATACATGTTAGCCTTGCTAACAGTATCAAATTTCTCCATTGCGAAATTGACAGCATCGTCAGGAAGATGCCCAACTTCTAGCGTTTCTCTTAGTTTTGAGAAATACTAGTTCAGTAATTCTCTATACAGTTCTAAATAATGTTGGGAGGTCCGACTAGTTGGCAAACGTGTTTGAGGTGACAGTTGCGAGGTAACGTCGATACTACTCTCACTCTCATAGCTGCTCATCACTTTAAAACATTCAGACAGTTATTTTGTCTCCCAGACGACGAATCATATGACTTAGTCATTGGAATGCTCTTTTCCACATACCAGAGTGATACTGCATTCAAATATATAAATCAAATTTTAAAATCCAGTAATGTCTTGTCAATGAAGGTATTTATGAATTGTGTGAGAAAGGCTTGATACATTGGTGACAATAATTGAAAGGTGCAGGGTGAATGATTAGTTTTGTTGATGCATAATAAATTTTAGCTAATTTGTAATTTTGTACCTCCTTTAATTCTTGATTTGTGATTTTAGTCACTATATTTTTGCTGTGACTTTAGTCCCCATATTTTAGAAATTGATGCAGTGACTTTAGTCCCCATATAATAAAGTCATTGATGCAGTGAAATTGACATGAATAACATAAGCTAAGGTCAGGTGCATTTTACATCTTCTATATGGTTCTATATTACCATTTTCATTGTCAGTTGTTTCATTAGGTTGCAAAGTCTCGGGTAATTCCACCCCATGCATTCCCTTTCATAGTTTCACTTGGTTAGCTGTTCCTGATAATATTTGTCTCTATATAAAGTTTTAGTGCTTATGCAGTGAAAGTGCAAGTTTTAGTCTCTAAGCTGTTTTTTATGATGGACTATCACTGGCTAAAGTTGTTTGTAAAACGTTAAATTGTGTAAATTATAGTCCCATATTGAATAATTTACTCAAATGATTGAAATAAAAATAGTTTGTAAAAGAACTAAGGTTCTACTTAATATTC